TCATTGGATGATTGAATTAGAATATGTTATTAAAAAGGATAATGAGTGTGTGGAAGCAAACATTAGGCTTTGATTACTACTCTCATCAAGAGGTAATATTTAACTAACTGCAAAACAGCTTATTAAATGTGCAGGCTCATCAGGCCAATAGTATTGGTAAATTAACCAACTTTAGCACAACTCTCTAGACTGTGTTTGTCTGTGGAAAAGCTGTTTTCCAGCATTAAGTGTATGTGTGTGATGTAGTCAGTTCACATCTAAATACAGGATGATAGTTATGTGAATGTCTGTTGCTAATTAATAGCTTTATACTTGGCCTTGCACCTAAACTCCCAAAAGCACCTCTCGCTCGTCTCTGTTGATCATAGTGTTGATAGCAGGAATCAGTACTGGGTGTACACACTGCGATCAGATGTGAGTATTTGCAGGGTTTCATCAGTCAAATCCAAGGCAAGTTTGGGATTTTGAAGCCTAGAATGAAAGTTATGACTATGAATATGCCTGTATGTTGAGTTTGAATTTAACCAGTTTAACCAATTCAACCAGGTCCAATGAAAATCTACCCAAAAATGACTATTATACACTGTTTTTATAGAAAGTTGCATGTAGCAGTGTATATAAAGTAATAGTACTGGTAGTAATAGTACTGATAGCAGAAGCCATATAGTGTGAGCAATAAGGTCTGATTATAAGACTAATTATACAGCATGCACACAAAGGCAAACACTGCAGCTCATAGAGGGTCCAGTGCTGCATTATAAGCAAAGTGATTTAAGAACCCTTTTTCCCAGGCAGGTAATTTGATTCTTGGAGGTCGATGTTGGGTGGTTTTGGGGTCATCCATGTAGCCAGTCCCCACTCTAATAAAACCAGAGACTGGTGGTGGGCCAGGGGGCTAAAAACCCCCATTAACTTCTCTCCCATCAACATTGGAATAGGCAACCTCATGACCCTGCAAAGCTGCCATGCTCCCTGATCATGTGACCTTAGAGCTGCAGAGCTGATCACTAGGCTGCTGGACTAAGACATCATTCTCAGAGACAGCCCACCAGGAAAGATCTGAAGGGATGTGAGGAAAAGACATTGTTAGTTTGTTGATTCATTTCAATTCAAGATGCTTTATTTGTTCCTCAAGGGGCAGGGAGTTCACAAACTGAGCACACATAGACAACTCACCCACACACAAAAAACAATCCAAAAGTAAAAATATTAGAAAGGGTCAAATACAAAAGGAAGAGTTAAAATACTCAATTATCTACAACAGTGGCTAGTCCATAGCTTGCCAACAAAGTGCAACACCACAAAGGCACATATTATGTAAAAACAATTACAAGTGCATTAGTTATTATATTATTAATTCCATGCAGGTAATCATAAATTCGTTCCTGATAGCATTAGCTCAGAATATTAACAAAGGACTTGTAGGGTCATTTATAATCTTATATGCTTTTGAGGATTTATTTAGTATTAATCTGTCTTAGGGATCTTTGTATTTTGCCAATAATTTTAGAACGGAGGTTAACACCACATTGCAATTGGTTCTTGTCAGCAAATAAATGAAAAGATTAAAATGCTATCAATACAAGAGGATTATAACTCTGTCTTTGTTGTCGTTCATCTTCCCCAAAGGAGTTGAGTTATGTAGGCAGTACAGATGCCGCTCGGCCTTTTTCACAATCACATCTGCATTTTCACTAAATCTCAATTTGTCATTAAACACAGTATTTGTATCGGATGATTTGAACATTTATATCATGAATGGCTGTCTGTCTTTTGGTGAGATCATCATTTCTTAAATTTAAAACCAAAAAAAGATCTGTTGCACCAGTTCACACATTCTTACATTATTACGTTCATTGAATTGATTTAATAAATGATAGACATGATAGCTTTAAAGCAATTTTTTAAGATACAGAATAAAAGAGAGGACGCAACCCTGCAGTGAGCCAGGGGAAGTACAAATTGATCCAGATGCTCAACCATTTACAACTACTGTCTGAGTTCTGTAAGTGAGATATCTGAGAATCCATCTGATGGGTTTATGATCTAAATAAGATTAAAACCTTATTGTAAATTTGCATATAATGGGAACTTGTCTTAAGCATTCTGGCAACAAAGTAGAAACAGAGATACAAAAAAAATACATGAAATACACAAAATACATAAATTTTTCAGCAGCAGTGCTCATGGGTTATATGGGTGGTACTTTATTATGTCCCTGTTGAGAATAGTCGCAGCAAAAGGGCACAAGTGTTTTTTTTTGGACCCATTTTTCCTGTCCAGTGGGACCTTGAGTGTGTGAGTGACCTGCTCCACTTCTTGCCCTTTCATAATAACAGGCTTGAAGACAGGTCCTATGCTGTCTGCTCCTATACTCCCTCCCAGACACAGCGCTTTGGTCTTACTGACATTGAGGTCAAGGAAGCTACTGTGAAACCAAGTGACAAGGTGGTCAGTGTGCTGAGAGTATGAAGGGCTGGTGACGTCCTGCAGACAGGCCACCAGGGCCGTGTCATCAGCGTATTTTATGAGTGAGATGTCTTTGCTGCTATATTTTACCTCATTTGTGTATATGGAGAATTGAAGGGGAGATAAAACACACCCTTGTGGAACACTGGTGTTCAGGACAAGGCAGCCAGAGAAGGTGGTATTAATACAGACTCATTGGGGCCTGTCTAATCCACAGAATAAAGCTGCTACTGACTTTCAGGTCACACAGGTGTCTAAGGAGAAGATGGGGCTGGCCTTGGGTTGGCCTTGTGACCCTATATTTTATCCAGAAGGGTGAGAATGGCGTCTTCTACACCTCAGTTGCGTCGGTAGGCAAACTGCATGGGGTCCATGCGCTTAGCCATTTGTGAATTTGTGATGTAACTTCCTTGCTCACTAGTTGTCCATGCATTTGCTTAAGGGCAATGGGACTAAAATCATTAAAGGGAAGTGGGATATCATTATTTTTGTTAGTAAATGAGGTTGCATTGTATGAAATGCTGATGAGAAGTAAACAAAGTGCATGTTTTTCATTACTAATAATGTTAATAATGCTTCAAACAGTGAAACCATATATACTAAACAACTAGCAACATTATTAAACACCAGAATAATATTCAAAAGGAAATATATGTCCATATATGCAAATGCCATAAAACATGTGGAGAGGGAGGACACCTACTCATCATGCCCAAAATATGACAAAAATACGATAAAAAACAATTTAAAATTAGGTGATAAAACACAATACAGAGAACTATATACACAATATATTACAGATGGGGTTAAGATGAAACAAGAAATGTCTAATTGCTCATTAAGCCCATGGGGAGACATAGACCCACTTGGGATGTCCTTTTTAATGTTTTTTCCTGTATTCCTAGATCCTTTAGTTTGGCACTAAAATCCTGAATGTCAAAACAAAGGAAGAACATATTTAATGCACGTGGCAGAGTCTCATCTGTGATATCCTCTGTATAAATGGATTTAGGACCTCTGTTGGTGTTTGTCCCTCATATAGTTTGTTTGCTTTCCAGGCTTAACACACATTAGCATGATTAAGTTTATCTACAATCTCATTCTCATAGCTTCATATTGCCTGACTCCCTTGACCTCTTTAAAAACTGTAATTTTCTTGGAGCGTATGTCTCTTTTTCAACACAGATGTTTATACTGTATATGATGATATAACATCCACTTGCTAATTGATTCAAATCTTGGCCTGTTTCATTAAGAACATCCCATACAGTCCATTGAAACAGCCTCTAAAGGCTCAGTGTTATTCTCTGACAAGATGTTAAATGTTTTAGAAACATGTTTCTCTCTTGGATTAAGTGGTTGGTATGAAAGAGCTGGCAAAACAGAGTTGTAATCAATGGTATCCAAACCTGGCAGGGGGAAAGATCTGTATGCACTGGGAACAGAACTGTAACATTTGTTTAGTGCCTTATTGAGTCAATAGGACAGTCAATGTACTGAGGTAAAATGTATAGAGGTAAAATGCCATCCAGCAGATGGTGGTTGAAATCGCTAAGTAGAAACTTATATGCATCTATCTTGTCCATCTTATAAACCACATCTAATATGACTTCTAATGAGTCGTCTACATTAGCGCGGGGTGGATGTACACTACAGCATTTGCGGTGATTCTCTTGGTAAATAATGTAGGTGAAGAGACACAGTTAGCATGTGAATCTCAGCCTTAGATACTCCCTGCTATACAACTACTTACACCACTTTTGATTTATGTATAAGCAGATGCCACCCACTTTCTGCTTACCAGGAGTCTCATTTCTGTCAAGTCGCATCAGTGTTCCAAAGCCTTCAGTGTACAGGTCCAAGTCAGAAACGTGACCGTCAAGCCACATCTCAATGAAGGCCATGATACACGTGTTCCTGAGATCTTTTAGGTGATACATGTTCACTTGTAGTTCATCCAGTTTACTATGCAATGAGCATACACAACTTCCATCCTCCTTGTGGTGTTTTTCAACTGTTGTGTCGGACTGTCTTTCTTTAACCTCTTCCTCTTAGTTTGCTTGTTTGTATTTCCTGCGCTCTGTGCATTTCTGCAGAGCACCTCTTATAATATATTCCAGTCTGTATTGATGTCTCCAGCTCCACTATGTTTCAGACTGAGTAAAAAAGTCCCAATTTAACCTCAGTAGCCATGGAGTGGGCCATTTCCCTTCCAAACAGTGGGTGAAGACAAGTGTAAACAATCAGAGCAATAAGAACTGGTTTGTACACATCCATTATCTCCGGACTTAAACAAAACTATCCAGGTTGTAGTCTTCCATGCCATTGTGTACACTTGGAAATAATTTCAATGACACCATGGCGTATCCTTTAGGACAAATTTTACATTTTAAGCCCCACTAGCAAAAACATCACTTTTGGTTTATTGTTTAATTGCTTTTTTTGCTTCTCTCTTTCCCTCTTTTTTCCTCTTCTACCCCATCGCCACATGCCCCTTTTTATTTCCTCTTTAGTGGGATGCCATCACAGAGATGGACGAGCACAACCGACCCATCCATACTTTCCAGGTTTGCAATGTGATGGAGCCCAATCAGAATAACTGGCTTCGTTCCAACTGGATCTCTCGACAGGCAGCTCAAAAGATCTACGTGGAGCTTCGCTTCACCCTGCGCGACTGCAACTCCATCCCTTGGGTATCTGGCACCTGCAAGGAGACCTTCAACCTCTTCTACCATGAGACTGATGAGGCTCATGGTGTCAAATTCAAGCCTGCGCAGTACACTAAGATTGACACCATCGCTGCTGATGAGAGCTTCACTCAGATGGATCTTGGAGATCGTATCCTCAAGCTCAACACAGAGGTGCGCGAGGTGGGACCCATGACCAGGAAGGGCTTCTATCTGGCGTTCCAGGACATTGGTGCCTGCATTGCCTTGGTTTCTGTGAGGGTTTACTATAAGAAATGTCCGTTCACACTGAGGAACCTGGCCTCATTTCCAGACACAGTGCCTCGTGTGGACTCTTCCTCACTGGTGGAGGTGAGGGGAGCGTGCATTGACCATGCTGAAGAAAGAGACACACCTAAACTGTTCTGTGGAGCTGATGGTGATTGGTTGGTTCCATTGGGAAGATGTGTCTGCAGCGTTGGGTATGAGGAGCTCGATGGCTCATGTGTTGGTGAGTTTTCCAACCTTTCTATCAAGCATTTTGCTTTTCATTGATAAATGTGGCATTTGTCAAAAATGTCCCCCTAATTTGTCAATACTGAGAAACTGGCCCCCGGTCCTGTCAGGGAAACTGGTATTGGTTTAGAATACAAACCTTGGCAGTTAAATACTTCGGCTAATCGGTGTAATGTCAGAATACCAAGCTCTTACTTAAATATGAATTTATGTGTTATTTATTTGAAGTTTTTGTCAGCATTGGTAGCTCCTGATTAGTTTTCCCCACTTGAAACATAGTGAATGTATTTCATATCTACAAATTAAACCTTCATACAGAGTTGAAACCTACCACAGCATTGAATTAATAATTTCCTTACAGAATTCACCCAAAAGCAAAGGTGAATGCTATTTTCATCTGACCCCTTGAAAACTGACATGAAAGTTGTTTTTTTTTTATGTACAACTTAAGGTAACTGTTTTCTTGAGCTGTATGTGAAGATTCTCAGTCATCCAGGTCATGGTATCTCTTAGAGCCAACTGGACTTGCTTGAAGTTCTTGAAGACATTTCACCTCATCTGAAAGGCTTCTCCAGTTCTAACTGACCAGTGGGGAGTTCCAGCCATTTAACTTCTTGTGGGGTCATTAGCACTATTAGCGCTATGGAGTTGGTGTTAAGTTGTCTGGGGAGTGATCTCAATACTGCATTGTAAGTGGCTGCTAAGTGATGTTGTAGACCACCTCATCTGATAAGTGATGGTCGTTCCAGTTGGATGTAGATGTATTCTACGTCAAACACCGTGACACACACCGTCACACCATGACTCAGATGATAGTAACAACCCACTCTCCTCAATGACCCTTTTGGTGTTAATGACCCCAGAATAAATTAAAATCCTGGAACTCCCCACTAGCCAGCTGGAACTGAATAAGCCTTTCGGATGAGAGGTGAAACGTCTTCAAGAACCTCAAGTAAGTCCTGTTGTCTTGCACTGTTTGCTGTCTCAAAGCTGAGCTGAATTGCATTGTCAAGTAGGATACTTATTTCTGCTGTCTGCTATACAGTCACTCACTTTCTACTCAAATGCGTCCTTCACTTGTGAATCCTGTATGTTCCTGTATGTTTTTCACTATTTTCTGTGTTTTCCCTTCATTTATTCATATAATCTCTTATCAACATAGTAAGATGTGCAGTATTATGTAGAAACCCAGCCAGGGAGTCAATTTCTTATTTGGTCTTCTTAACATAAGTATTGAAGCAACACCTCGCAGTCAGTCAGATAAGAAATGTGGATAGATGAAGAGGCTGATATAGTATCTGCAGAAGTAGATTTCCGTCTATTTCATGTATTTTCACAATGCATGCAATAGCTACAAAAGATAAAGTATATGTTAGTGACTTTCCATCTCTCTACAGAAGCCTTTTTTCCATATACTACATGCACACACTGACTAATCTTATGTGCTTTCATACATCAAAGATTTTCAAAAGCAAGTTTTTCTTTACAATTTTGCCTCCTCACTTCATCCCCTCCTGCTCCTCGTCACCCTTCTTCATTTCCCTCTGCTCCCCCCATGTTATTGCTAGCTGCTAACTCTCTGGTGAATAAGATGAGATAACGCGATGGGATCAGGGTGTTTAGGATTGTTAGTGTGATGGCAGAGAGCTTCCCTGATACTGTCAAAGGCTCTGCGTGTGTGTGTGCATGTGTGTATGTGCGTGTGCATGAACTGTCATAACATGAAACTAGTGATCTGCACATGGTCAAAGTTTAAGATCCAAACATCACAGCTCTTTCACAGGATTTGCTGACTGAATGCTGTCTGCAGTGTGTTTGTGTTGAGGTGCAGGCGGCGTACAGAAATACAGAAAAATGGAGTGTATGTATGTGTATGTTGTTGTGTATATCAGCGGTCTACCACCCGTTGTCCCAGGGGCTACCTTGGTGTGACAGATTACCTCAGCTGGCTTGGTAGCAGTTTGATCCTCAACTCTCTGATATGAGCTTGGGGTTATCGCTGGCACCACCACTCCCTGGGAATGCTATAGTAAAAAAAAAAACACCTTCATGAAATTCCAACAAAATATCTTTTCAAACCTTGCAAAGGTCTGATGTACAGTCAACAGGTACACGAAACTGTAGTCTACAGAAAACAGATATGTGATCTATAAGGAGTCCAGTGTACTAGAGGAGAAACCACTCACTCAGTGCAAAAAATGTGTAGAATTTAAATACACACCTCCGTTTGCTGACTAAACTCTTACGTCAAATCACTCTGTAATCCTGACATGTAACAATATACCATACATTGTGCTGCTTGAACAACACTGATTTTAACACATGCAACTGTTTTAAATTCACCGCAAAGAGTTTAACATAAAGAAAAAACCCTGGCACTTAAAAAACCTTGCTGGTGACACAAACCCAATCTTTCATCTGTATCCAACTGACTAGTTTGTGACATTGTGACAGACCAAGACAGCATACCCCGACGTTGCTTTTACCAGAATGAACAAGATGCACAATAGATGAAAGTAGTAGCACAAATTGGATGACATAGTGCCATTTTTGCTCCTCTCCAAAATTCATCCATCTATCCAACACCACCATAAAACTACAGCTTTGCTTGTAGTGCTCTTTTTGAAAAATGCTTTCAAGACCATTCACTGCTTTTCTCCGTCCATTCACCATCCAGAACCAGATGTCCTCATACAGTTGATTACGATTCATCTTGTGACATGGGTCAGAGAGGTTTCCCAGCTGCACTTGCAGCTGCATCGCAATCAACAGGGCAGGGGTGAGACTGCAGCTGTGATTAGAGCCAGACTATACCAAAATGGATATATCTTTTATTATTTTTCCCTATTCTTATGCATTCCTTAATTGTTGTGTGACATGACAAGCTTAGTAATGGTAGATAAACTCTGGAGGAATTAGGAGGAAAACAGACGGCAAAGTGAGTTTGTTTTAGAGACAGGTTGTGATGTATTTGCAGACTTGTTCTTTATCCCACAGATAATGGTTTGATGTTTAGCATCCTGCTGTCTGTTCTGTGTCTACCAACCATCTTACATGCATTGCTGGACTCACAAATGCATGTACCCCAAAACCTAAGAATTTGTTTTGATAAACATTTAAAAAACGCAAGTAGTGTACTCTGTGATTATGTAACAGCATGAAACATTTAAATAAGAAGTCATGCAGTGTTTACATTACATCTGTCTTTGTGGTTGCTCCTTGTAAAAACACAGTGTGCCACATAATATCCAGAAGAGGTAAAAAGAAGCTAAAGTTGAAAAATAGTCTTTTCTGCTCTTTGCCATTTATAGCAATAAGCAACCACAACATGGTCACCTATCAGAATGCCTATGGCCCTATAAACTAAAGTAATTTGTCTTCCCTTCCTTCTCCTTCGCTCTTCGCTCTCGGAGAAGCAGATTTCACAGTTGGGTTAAGTTTAGCCTTTTGGGCAATGTGATGGCATTTTACTGCAGTGTCAGCCCTGAAATGCAGCCGCTGCTCATTGTTCCAGGATTCAAACAAGTGTCGTTATTAAAAGCCTCCACACAAGGTACCACTGGAGCGCCGTGGGCACTGAAGGAGAAAGTCTGAGCTGGCTGGCTAAGCTCATGCTTCAACCCCAAATTTACAACCAACTGGTCCTTTAAATGCTATGGCTGCTTGACTAAGCTGAAAGAAATAACAGGTTTGATCGATTTGTGATTTCAGTAAAATACCATAATTGAACAGTGTTTTAAAAGCACAGTGCTGACCTTTGTGCCTCTCATTTCTGGTTGTTTATGTGATTATCTGTCTGTTATGATATGGAATTTGCCTTTCACGCAGCTCATGCACTCACTGAAAGTCACTGTGTAAGCAAAAGCACCAGTTAAAGCCTAAAATGTAAATACTAAATGTATGTTTAGTAAAAGAATTCCCTGCCATTTCCACCCTGAAGAGGTTAATCTTTACTAGTTAAATTATGTCTTACTCTTCAGATTCTTGTGAGATTATCTGTGGTATGAGCAGAGATGTGCACCAAAATTCTCCATATCACATTAATCCATTCAGGTCTCACAAAGAGTGCAGATCAGTTTTAGTATGGAAATTCTTTTCCTTAGATAAACCCTTACAAAGGACCAGCAGCAAATATGTGACGAAACAAACACTCCAGTTCTGACTTACAAACCTTTAGAGAAAAGATGAGCTGTCTGAAGTCTGAATAAAGGGCTTTAGCTCCACTGAGGTGGAAAAAAGGACATGCTATCCAATCAGCTAAAGCCAAATAATCTTTTCTTCTCTCATTCAAACCCAGTGAATTTGGTCACAATAGTGCTCTAATCCCCTATCCATTTCCTGGGTGAAGTTTGGAGTGTCAGTCTGCTGCTCTAAGGCTGATGTTAATCAAATCTAGTAGCTAACAATAACCCCTGTAACCTATGCTTCAACTGCACCTCCACCTGTATAGACTGGCAGCCTCTTCACTTCTGCAAATGTTTTCTGGTTTCTGGCTCTTGTGGATTTATTGCACAAGGTTTGATATACAAAAATAAATTATCTATAAACCAGCTCTCCGGGTAGAGTATGAAGTGGAAGAAGAACAAAAGTCTTTGGGTAGATTTAAAGTGAATGCATTTTGTTGTTTTAAGATTAAGGCATAGATCACTGCAGCCAAAGAAGACAATATAAAGTGTGTACTGCATGTGTGTGTGTATACATACTAATGGCCCTTTTCAATCACATAGTTCCAGAAACTAAGAAGCCAAGGGAACTAAAAGTCCCTTTTGTCAATATGTTGTTCTTTGTATTTACTGTTGGGTGACTCTTACATCTGAGCAGATGTAATGAATGAAGGAAAAGGAAAGGCAGAGGTGAAAGGGAGACTGAAAACACTCCAGCTTGCCTCCAGAGTACAGACCATCTGCTGCACAATTTATTTCTTTTTGAGTATCCATACTGATTCAATCTGCAAATCAAGTTGTGTTTCTCATTCACTTGCTTGTTTGTTGGCTC